TATATATATATATATGAACGTGCGTTGCACGTTAATAATAACACGTGATGATTTAAAAATTTATTTATATGAAGGAACAAAAAAATTAATTAATGAGAGAAATTTTATGTATAATAATACAACAATCATATAAATGCCGAAAAATATTATTACATTAGCATAATACATGAATTAAAAATAAAAGGACATCTTCAAAACTTATACAAATGATCGATTTTGGCATGTTAATTAGATAATTATGTATTATAGTTTAAAAGTATTTAATGTGATAGTATCTTAACGAACACTTTTTTGTGGACAATATTTTTTTGTGTATGTTTTCTCCTAATGCTTTGGTTGCTCTGCCTTAACCAAAACTCTTGTTGTCGATCTTGATATCCCTCTTGAAAGTGCAACATACAGTTGTTCGTGCAAGAAAATATATTGCGGTAAATATAGTTCAATATTTAGGATGTTTGTCCTTGTGCTTTATTTGTTATATTTGCAAAACATTACTAAATATTATTTTCACACAAATTTAAAAGGATATTCCTTAGTTTCGGAAGACGAAAGTTGAATTCAGGGATAAGAATACACTTAGAAGCACATTGACCAGTATCATAATTTTTGCTTGTATGACGTTATTGTCAGAACTTCTATATACCATCTGTGTGCTATTACATAAGCTATTCGGCGTATCTAATTTTTTTATCAGTAGTATGACAGGCGTATTTTTTTTTTAAATTAACCTATATACAATGGAAGATCAATTTTAACTTAGTCTATTATATATAACGGTGACACTAACATACGTAAGAAATAATAAACTTGACACCAAACATATATGGTAGAAGGTCATCTGGTATTAAAGTATTTAAATATTCTTCTTAGTAGTAATTATTGGTATCATTTTCTGCCGAGTCAAAAATTGAAAAATATTTTATTTTTATTATAAAATTTTGCAATCAACATTTTATTTAGTTGATCAACATATTCATTTCTGCTAGCTAAGATATCTTTTTAATTCTATCATGCGATTTGCACAAATTGCGTTTTAATTTAATGATAGAAATATTTCTCTTATTAAATGCACTACTATTACCATTAGGATTGATAACCAAGTAACCAAATCATCTTTTATTGGATGCTCTTCTTCGTTTCCGACACGAAGCAAGAAGACACTGAATACTGGATCTGTTCTTACTTTATATTTCTTGTCAGTTGAATTTTTTTCATTTGAGGCCAGAAGTATAACTTTGGCAGGCTAGCTTTTACAGTCTCTGCTTTTGTCGATTTTGGAACTACTGGTAGTACTTGACAGAAATCACCTCCCAAACCATTAATTTTTCACCAAACGGTTCATTAATAAGAAATCCGGACAATTATTTCGATCGTTTGACACTTTGCCATAAGTGCTTCATCCCATATTATCAATTTTGCTTTCCTTATAAATTTAGCACCATTGCTCTGCTTTGATATATTTGTGATAGTTATTTAAGTTGTTTGAAGAGGTATATCAAATCTAAAGTGGGTGGCCTCATAATAAAATCGTTGTTGGTACACCACTTGCTATTATTGCTAACAGTAACATGCCTCTTGATATGATATTTGCAAGTAATGCATGACATAGAAATATTATTCCGATTCCGTCGGAGGCATCTACAAAGAATAATCTCATTATACCAGAGTCGACTCTTTATAATATAGTCTTGAAAGCTTGTTTTTGATTAAGATTTAGCTTTGATTGTGCTTCTTCAGTCACTTGTATAGCATTTTGATTCTTAATAATATACTAACCTTTTTACTTTGTGTTCTAACACTCTTTTTATGGAATAAATTTATGTATCCTAAGATTATTTTTTAACTTAAGTAAGAATTTTACTCATATAATGAATTTAAAAAATAATTGAATTGGATTCTCTTGCTAAACAATTAATTAAAAGATTTAATTATTTGATTTTAACATAAAAAATAATCTATTCTATGTTAATTCAGATCTTAATATTAGTTCATCTCTTGTTTTAAATATTTAATCTTCATTATAATTTTATCCACTATAAATTTTATTTTCAAAGAGTAAAAGATTGATATGACATTTCACTTTTAGATCTTTATGTTTGTAGAATCATTAGTGATATTGACTCTTACCAACCATTTTTTTTCTCTTTCTCACACATTTATATTCTTAAATATTTTCTTAGTTGTTGTTTAATAATTGGGTATTTTTCAATATTACACAAAAAATTGATTAAAAAATATTGAGTAGGAAAATAGTTCAAATATAATATAAAAATATATTATCGTGGGGGTATTTTTTTCTCAATTTCAACTCTTTATGCAGTCCATTTAATATATATATATATATATATATGGTATTGAACATTATGGAGTAGTAATGTATTGCCAATACGGAGGATTCTTATGAAATTGATTTTATTAAACCTTCCTACATATTTTTAATAAGAATTTAATACATAAAATTTTATTAATTTTAAAATATTAAATATTAAAAATTAGCAAAGAAGATATTGTAGTCCAAAAAATAGGTTATTGTAGTTATGTCCTTTCCCTATGAGTTCTTCCGCTAATATTTTAGGGCTATTTTGGTATATTAATATTGTATTTATGCTTTTATAATAAAATAGGCTCTCCTTTTTCTAAATGGATTTGGACAATATAATACATTCTTAAATTAAATTAGTAATAGAACGTTATAATACGTTTTCGAATTAAATTAGTAATAGGAAGTTTTAACAAGTATATCCTAAAAGTAAAAGGATTACATAACTAAAGATATTTACTTGTTCAATTTTATATGAATTAGACCGCCCGAAAGTAAATATACTAATAGGATTCCTAAAGGTAATCATGTAGGATTCCTAACGTGTAGTATTATGTCCTAAAACTAATAGGATTATACGGCTAATATCTAGAATTCCGGTTATGTCCTTTTATTATGAGTTATTATGCTTAATATTATAAAGTTATTTTTGTAAACCGACATTGTATTCATGCTATATATATATATATATATATATATATATCAAGGACCATGTTATACTAGTTCACAAGTAATTCCAAAGTAAAAATACAAAACAAGTATGGCATCTGTGATATAGAACCTCCTGAATCTTACCCCTGCCATCAAATGATTATTAAGAGATTTACCAACTATATCTATTATGGTTAATCTGGATTCTGGTCTCCAAATATAGGTCATCCAAACATAGGAAGAAGCACATTCCACAAATAAAGAAGTACTCATAATGAATATAGTCGCTCACCGCTCTAGGAGCCTCCTTGACAGCAAGTTTTCCTTTGTGACGCTCTATTTCCTCGGTGCAAGCTGCAATTGCTTTAGTAAGGATTGCTATGCCTTGCTCCTGCCAAAAGCAATAAAATAGAAACCGTAACCTAACAAGTTGAATTCTCTTAAAAATTATAAATTTTAGAGAAGAACTACATGTACAAAACTACATATCAACGGTTCCACAATCAGATATAAACAAAGAGGGAAATGTTGCAACCGAGAAGCTGTATAGACAAGTTTGTATTTGCACTCCACAACATTGGATCAGCTTTTAAAGCAGTGTATCTTTTACACTACCTTTTAAACACATCTAAACCAAGACAACTACCTGCATACCTTTAGTTTTATACATTATAGAAAGTAATCTTTACTTCAGTAGTTAGCCACTAGCAGTGGTACTTTCTACAGTTCAATGCAAATAGTGATATCTGGTACAAGTGATTTAGCATACATCACCTTAAGGTAACATTTGATGATTATCATATAACACCCTCTAGGTAGTTGTTATAAGGCATAATACGGTAGGTGATAACAGCTAAGAAGGCATAATGCGGTAGGTGACCAATTAAGAAACTAGTATAAATGCTTGCACTACTTGATTTTTTGAAGGAACTATGCTCAGCAATTGCCCACTAAAGTATTTTATTCTTTTTTTCACTTTCCAGCAGCAGTACAACATAAGAGATTAATTCTAGAAGTAGCTTTAACATTGATAATAGTTAATGAGCATACTTGAGAGTATGAAACGAAAATGGCAGTTAAAAGAATGATCCTATGAAGTTGACATTCATTCTTAACCACCTAACTCGAAAATAAGCACAATAAAACCAAGGAGAAAGCCAAAAGATTTTTGGGAAGCATCCCATGATGGATAGGAGAAAAATGACATCGAACAGGTGGTCCCCGAAGGTCATAGTAAGCAAAAGGGGTCCAGCTAGAGCATCCTAAAAAGTGTATTATCCAAACAGGCATCCTTCTTTGACTATAAAACTATGATAGATAAGTGGAAGTATTACTGATAAAATAAGAACTCACTCTGCAACAACTGAGATGATGGAGAGAGAAAAGAGAAAAAAGAGTCTTTCAAGCTAAATCAAGGTGAAGGAGGTAATAGCACATAACGGGCAGTCTATATGCGTTTGGCCTGACACTTGCCAAGAGATGGACGACGAATGTTTCCATAAACTTTTCTGCCTGCTGATCGAGTTCCGATATTAAACCTGGGTAAGGAACTCTGATCCCGCCCTTGAAGCAGTTAGCTTTCCCAACTTTCTTCATTTTTTCAAAAATAAATAATATGCTTTCAAGGCGGAACTAACATGTACTACAATGTTCTTGACCAAAATGACCTCAGAACAATAAAAATGCTCCACCACAAACCAATCTGATACTTTTGAAAGGTGAAGACTAAAAACATTTCACTCAGGTAAAACAGGCTACCCATAAATATATGCAATAAACAATTACTTACCTTGTCAAGAGTCTGAGTATTGAGCACGTATGCTGGAGGAGCAACAAGTTTAATTTTAACTGGGCAATCATCATTACCCGCAGCTTCTGCTTTACGCATAGCTTCCTGCACCAGACGTGAAATAAATCATCAAAAAAAGGGGGCTAACATTACAAACAATATGTGACCTGTACAAGTTGTTTCCCCTTTCTGATAGGTAATGTTATCATTTTATTGAACAACGACAGCAATAAGAAAAATGCAACCTCTACAAGTGACAACAACTGGTTGAAGAAATAGACAATTGCATGAAAATGATGATGGCAGTTATACAAACCTTGATGTGAAGGACGCCGTCAAACTGAAAACATTTCATCTCAATATCTGCTCGAATCTTCAAAGGTTGTGGAGTCATTCTCCTCCGAATATTCTTGACTAAGGCATCTTTAACTTCCTCGGATAGAGCAGGAGCAACCTTAGTTACCTACGGAGGATAAGATATTAAATATCATTAGACATCATTGGACGAAATTAACCAAGAAAATGATATGACAAAAGAGTACCTCCTTCCCATCAGAGCCAATTTCTTTAACTTCACGGGTGAGGGAATTAAGAATTGAATCTGGATCACTAACAACTAATTTGAATGCCTGGAATCAAAACCAAGAAATCCATAATGAATCTTGCCAATCAGAAGAGGGAAAAAGAAATCTTTGGAAATTGATACAAATTCCCACCTCAAAAGCATGACCATATTTTCTGTATAAAGGCCAACCAACATGAATGTACAAGTCCTGCAATAAACAAGGGAAATGACTAAGAGCAATTGAAGAGAAGAAATTCAAAGATCTATTTGACAGGGACTAGAAGAGGAAAAAGTTTAACAGAATCGTATGGATCTGAAAGTACATTATGCACCAAAAGGCGTTCATCTCAAATAAATAATGATGAATATTCTTCTTATTTCTCAAACAGCAAGTAATTGCAGCAGGTCCTGGTAACTTTCCCGCAGAAAGAAAAGAAAATGACACGGGGGTAAATGGACATCCACTTTAAAGCAGCAGAAGTTCTAATTAACATGCGAAAAACTATGTGTTTGCAAGGAAGGCCAAGGGCACATAGATAAAGCAGCTATACGTGTTCAGTAAACTATTAGGCACAGTCCCGATAAGGCAGAAATGCTCAGAGGCACCGGGATGGAATAATCACCCTTAAGCCAAAATATTACACGGCAAAGGATAGAGAGAAAGAGCAAATGAAGGTAACAAATGCCTTCATGTTAAGGCATATCATAGAATATATTTTATTTACGCACTCCCAGTTATGTAACAGTAAAACATAGAAAAGAAAATGGTAAAATTCCCACGTGTAAACAGTTAAAAAGGTGATACAATTCACAATTGACTAACTCAATTAATTAAGATTCATAACTATGTACTACCACCAATCCAGCAGGCCCAGATCATACACCAGCAGAACAGGCATCTTCCCCCTTCAATTCAATTCACAAATTATGTGTTGAAACCCTACATTGACCACCGGACAACATCCAACTGCAGTAACATCAGCAGTTTTTCTCTGCTCACAAACTCCCTAAAAAGCAAAGATTACATTCCAGTTCCTGCTTGGCCATGAAGCAAATCAACTGTTATCTTAGAAGAGCCTTCATATACCCCTGTGGCCCTATCCTTAATCTTTAAGACATGGCACAAAGGACCGAGCTCACAGCTAAATTTCCCAAATCACAGTTAGGAGTTTTTCTAAAAGAAATCGGTTTCATCATACTGCTTAAGACAAAGCGGAGCAATTTGACCTTATCCGGGGAAAACCCCAAATTTAAGAATCATTTGGCATAAACACTTCTTTTGCTTTGGTTTTCATCTTTAGGCCAGTACACCAGTCAAAGCTCAAAATAGGTGCGCACCAAAATGCCAAGTCAACAACACTAACTCAGTCCCATTCACTTCACACGTCAATAATTTCTAATATCCAAAGACCTCATATTCAACTGAAAATCCAAAGATGATAGCGTTCAAGATAACGAAAGCAATATTCAACTATGAATTCTAGGTTTTGCAACGGAAACTAATTGACATTCAAATAATAATGTGGATTAAAGCAAATAAAGATATGTGTCGCTTGAAACTAACAATATAATCGGTATAGAAACCGAAGATCTTGCTAATATTCAATCTCACAATCCCACGTACAGGAAAGGAAGAATGTTGGAATTAGAACAGAAAACAAATCAAATTTATCATAAAAGGAATGAAAATTTTAACAAGGAATTAGATTACCTTGAGAAGATCAAGAGTTGTTCAGAAAACAAAAGAGAGGATTTTTCCTCTCTCAATACGTTACCTTGAGAAGATTTTTCCTCTCTCAATACGTTACCTTCAGAAAACAAAAGAGAGGATTTTTCCTCTCTCAATACGTTAATTATCATCCAAAAACTAAATTCCTAACTAATGAAACACTTTAGGTTTAACTAGGACTTAAAAATATAAGAAAAGCCCCAAAAATATTCTTAAAATAAAAGCTCCAGGTCGGGTTGGCGAAGTCTCCCGCTGCAATTTTGCGCTACCGCCCAGATGTGCAATACAATTTGCACTTTGAGCGCAAATTTGCGCAGAATTTGGCAGTAGCTTTTTATGTGGGCTACTCCTTTGGCTCCTCCGATGATTCCATGTCACTCCCAATGACATCACAAGCACATGAAAGTATTTGTAAGGTACTTCCAAGCCTTTTAGCTCCTCCTCAAGAAGAAAACACTTCTTGATCTTCATTTGCAGCCCAACCAATTTCACTTGGAGATCCTTCGCAAGCGATCGAGGACGTTAGAAAGACTCCTTGATAATTGTGTCACGTGGTGGTGAGCTATCCTTGATGCTATCAAAAGACATAACCAAATATTCTCCCTTGGTTTGAATATATATATATATGCCATGTTTCTTCATTTAGAGACATTGCAAGAATTATGACACCATTCCATTCAATACAACTTTCAAAACTTCAAAATTTTAAACTTAGATATCATGTATTCTAAATCAAGCTAACTTCTCATCCATTACTTTAATATTCTCCATCCGTTATCACTACTCCCCCTATCCCATTTTGGCACACTTCTCTTTTTGTTCTGTCCAACGAATGGTACTCCCTCTGTTTCAATTTGTTTGAACCTATTTTACTAGGCACGAATATTAAGAAAAAAGAGAAGACTTTTGAAACTTGTGATCTAAAACAATCCATAAATATTTGTTTGGCTATAAACCATCTCATGAAGGGTAACGGAAAAATTTTAAAGTTAAATTGTTTTCAAATTTAGAAAGAATTCATTTTTTTTAAACTGACTAAAAAGAAAATAAACTCAATTTTATAACGGAAGGAGTACTTTTCTATATAGAAATAATTTAACTTTAAACTTCTTAATTTACCGTTAAGTAGATGATATATAGTCACACACTGTGTTTTAAAAAGCGTTTTTGGGGTGAGCCCCGGGACGAGCCCTAGGGCGAGGCGCACCAAAAATGTCCCGAGGCGTTGGTGGGGGCGAAAGTCTCAAGAGGCGTACGCCCAGCAATTCGGCGCGTTTTTGTAGTGAGGCGTAAGCCCAAGAGACTTTTTCAAATTAAAACAAAATTTGCTGAATAAGTCCTTAATATAATACCCAAACTCTCAAAAATCAGCCTATAATTACTCAAAAAAAAATTAAAAAGAACTGAAACATTAAATTAAAAGTCAAGACCTTTTTTTATTGCTAGAAACCCTAATTTATGGTCTTTCCCAATTCTTTATCTTGTCCGCTAGTCTGTTATTATCTTCCAAAAGCAACGATCAGTCAATTCTTTTTTGCAAATACAAAGAAAACTTCATTCTCCTTCAGAGCAGCAAGTTCAAAATCCAAATTGCAGGTTAGTCATCCTTTTTGTTCCTCAATGTAGAAAACTTTATTCTTAAGTTACTGTGCTTGTAAGTAGCGTATAATAAATTGTTTTGACTAGTTTTATGTGGTGATGGAGCACATCTATATATATTTTTTTCCACTTATTTATAGTTTTCTTCAATTTTTGTATAATTTTACCTATTTAAAATTATTTATTATAATTATATTATTTTATGAAATATTAAAAATTAAATACCCATTTGGCTTAAGCCTCACTGAGTCATATGTAAAATACCGCGCCTTACACTCCCGCCTTTTAAAACACTGGTCACACCAATATATGTGGCTTGCTTTAGAACATAAGTTTCAAAAATCTTTCTTTTTTTTCTTAAACTTGGTGCACAGTCAAACATTGCCGCAATAATTAGGACATAGGGAGTACAAAAAGTCAAAATAACATCTTAAACTCCAAATTCAGCTAAATACTGTAATATAAAATGATACNACAAATCCAGCTAAATACAGTCATATAAAATGATAAAGAGGGAGTAGTACCTCCAGATCAATTCCCATGGTTTCAGCAACGTGACGCATGATTGAATGAACAAGCTTACTCTTATTATACCTCTCCTCACAAGCCGATATGTCTTCTTCAGAAACCCTTCGTTTACTCAGATCAATATATCCTTTCTCTTTATCAACCCTAAGAACCATAACCGGCTCGATACGGCCGACTTTGATGAGACTGCTAATACTCCGAATTCGACGACGAGAGAGTTCAGAAAAAAGGATCATTCCTTCTATGTTGTTGTACTCGAGAAGCGAAACGTATGCGCCGCTGTCCGCCATGCTTTTCACCTGTATCATTACTGCCATGTCCACTTCTGGGTACTTGGCTTCGTACATTCGGCATTCGAGGTTCGGCGAGTTGGTCGCCATGATTGGGGCGATTTTTGAAGTGAAGGTTATTAGGGTTTCGGAGAAAGTCTGAGGGGGGTTTTGGAGAAAGGGGTGATAAAAAATGGGTTTTTGTCTGTGGAGGGACTGAAAGAAGAGATACCACCCATAATTGTACTGGTATTTTACCTGCTTTGTTTGGGCAGAGAATATTTAATATATTTTTATTAAAAAATATTATTTGAAAAATACAACATACACAAAGAAACATGTAACTATCATTTTATCAACAGGTAAATATACCGGATATTCGTACATTCAAATCTATCCAAATTCTACTATTTTTTAATGAATTATAATTTTATTGTTTAAGTTGTCGAAGATATTAAAAAAAATTCAGGATAAATGTTGCATTAAAATTTTAAAAAATAGTTATCATCTTTTTTTCTTTCTTCATGAAATAGTAGATAATATTATTATATAAATACGTCAACTGATAAATATTGTACAACAATATAAAAACAGATCAGTAATAATATAATTAATAGTTTGCAAAGTTGCTTGATTTGAGGTATATATCCCTTGGAGAATATTTTGGCCGATCAAGAAACCTTGTTATAGTGCACAATTCCATTTGAATATTGCTTGTAAAAATATCACCATTTGTGAGAATGCTAAAATCTGCTTGCAAGGTTGAATCAAATAGAAATTTTGAGAATAATAGGTTTTTTAATTAAGAAGATGTTGGTGATGGAGTTAAGGGCAATAGTTCCTTTTTTTTTTTAAGACGCGAATTATGGGGTTAGGTATTTTCTAGGAATGAAGTTAATTACTTATCTCTTGAAATTTAAATGTTAAATTAATTTTTTAGGCATTAAAAAAAACTTCAACCTCTAATGTAATTAGAAATGATGCATTTCACAATCATATTAGCAAAATTAACCATACTAATTATAAACTAACTAATTTTATTACATTATTTACTTATCTTATCCTAATATTGTCAATTGTCTTAAGCAGTGCCAAATGACTTATTATTTGGCTGTCAGTTGACTTAATGTGGATATTTGAAATAAATAATTATTTGTATAGGAGAACGTGGATAAGAATCAATTATGAAGGTAGTTTTGATTTATTGCTCCAAGCCAACGTTTGGGAAGACATTAGTCGTGGGGTTGAACTTTCGGGTGATTTTTTTTCCTTATTTCTTGTTTATGTGTAAGAAAGATATTAAGTATATAAATAAATAACAAGCTGCATCACAAAAAAATGTGGGAGAAAATATTAATTTCTTTTTGCATTGGAAGGTTTAATAAATAAAAAAAAATAGAAAGAACTACAAGAAAATACATATGACTTCACACCACATGTTTTTAAGTTTTACTCCACCTAACCCACATTGTACATATTTTAAAAGCACTTGCAAATTCAAAATCTGTGTTCTTACAACCATTGCTTCTAAGTTATGGAGTTAATTCTTTGTTCTCACAATCATTGCTTTCACTCTCTCTTCTTCTCACATCTTCTACATATGCTTCAAGGGTCGTGTATTTTCTACTTCTCCTTTTGTGTCATCTGCTTGCAATGTAAGAAAATTGAAGAGTAGAAGGCCACCATTGAGGACCATTCAAAGCTTTGCTTTTGAAAATGTTTTTTTTTTTGAATTTGTTAGTTGTTTGGACTGGGTGTTGTTCCAATTGATTGAAAATATCAAAAGAAGTTCAAAATTTAAATTTGAAATGATTTGGAGTAGATTTGAGCAAGATTTGAGTTAAATTTCAGAAAAAACGCAAGGAAGAAGACGAAGTCAGTTTTTTGTATAGTTATGTATAATCTTGTATAATAGTGTATATGAGTGTAAAAACACATTTTATACACTATTATATACTTTTATACACCTTTATACAAGCGTCTGTAGACGAACTTCTTCCACGATTTTCAGTTGCATTTCTTGTTCAAAACCAGTCAAAATCTCCATTAAATGACTTCAAATTTTATATACAACCTCCTTATGCTATTTCTAATAAGTCTAAACACCTACTCCAAATTTCTCACAAAATCAAATTCAGAATTTAAACCCACATATTTAAGCTTGTTAAAAATCTAATTTTCACCACCCAAATGAATTCGGTTTGTTGAATTAATATTTGAGTCACAGTTACTGATTCGAAAATTAATTTAAAAGCTTGAGGAATCTTTTTTAGAAATTAAATAGTAATTTTGAGAACCTATTTGAGTTGGGTGTTGAATCTTAGCCTATTATTTTTAGGTTAGTTGGAATTGAAATATGGGCTATAAAATTAAAAAGTATGAAGCCCAGTTGTTCTAATGTGAAATTTTCCCTAAATAAAACTACCAAACAAACATGGGAGGAAGTATTAATTTTTTAAAATTGGCAAGTTTAATTTTTTAATTTTAATTTTCAATCTTCTATTCTAAAATAATTTTGAAACTTTTGTTGTAGTTTTATCCTAAAAATTTAAACTTGACATGTTATACTGATGACACTTGGCACATAATATATCGAAATAGTATCAAATTTTTGTCTACTATTCAAAATTCTTCAACTGCCTGAATTTATCAATTTGAGTGATTTTATTTAAATTATTTTTTTCAATTAATTTAAATTATAAATATCCTAACATTATATTTATTTCTAGTTTTCGTATATTCTAATGAAATTTAGTATGCTACTTATAATTTAAATACCATTATTTTTTATTAAATTATGATTTTGAATTCATTAAAATTATAAATAGAGAAGCCTTTTATTTTTTTATTCAAAAGTCTAGAGATAAGCCTTCTATTATTTACATTATTCAATTTATCTAAATTTGTAAATAATACTCTTGTATATTATTTATTGACTTTATAATTGTATCTTGGTAATCTTTTTGGTGTTAAAATTTTTTTATGAATAATTGTAAAATTTATCAAGTGGCTTTGTAGTATCTTGACACTTGACTTAATCTTATGAATAACAATTTTTTTGTCGTAAAATTGCTAGGTGACTTTTTATTATGCTGTCACTTGGCTTAATATGGTGTCTTTACCTCTCCTTTTATTATGTATAGATAATATAATATATAATATATAGATACCTCCTTTAATATAACATAGATAATATAGATTTCTTACTTCATTCAAAATATATATTTTTTTATTATTTTGTATAAAATATATCGATAGTTTGATTATTATTTTCTACATTATAGGGAATAAGCAATTAGACTTTTCTTCTATTTTATTTTCAATATAAAAGTTTTGATTTTTACATTGTTTACTTCGTCATTCTTTTATTATTTTATATAAAATGTATCAATATTTTTAGATTTTTTTCTACATTATATGAAATAAGCAATTAGACTTTTCTTCTATGTTTAAATTTAAATTCAAAAAGAGTAACTAATTATTAATAATAAATAATGCATAATTCAATTTTTAAAAAATTTACATTCAAAAAGAAACTAATTATTACATAATCTAATTAACTTTGTCCTAAAATTGCCAAGTGACTTTTTATTATATTGCCACTTGGCTTACTATGTTATTTTTGCCTTTTCTTTTATTATATATAGATTATAGTCCTGGCATTTTTGGTTGTTGCGTCTAATAAAAACAATTGGTTCAAAATATTTATTATTTTAAAATTAAAATAATTTTTATACCTTTAACTTTAGAAAAAATTACTCAATTTGGCATTTCAAAGAAAAAATACTACTAATATTAGTTAGTTCATAAATAATATTAATATTAGTCAATTACTCATAAAATGCTACCAATATTAACTCAATTAATTATTTATATGATTAATTGAGTTACTTTTCAGAGTATGGTGGCTAAAACTCAGATTGATTATCTCCTCCTAAGGAATTGAGATAGAGGGTTGTGCAAGAATTGCAAGGTTATCTCGAGTGAGACAATTGCGACTCGACATAGGCTCTTGGTGGTGGTCATCGGCATCATAATAAAAAGGAAGAAGAAGGTGGTTCGAGGTCGTCCGAGGATTAGGTGGGGTGCCGTGACGAAGGATAAAGTTCAGGAGCTGGAGGGGAGGTTGTTGGCTATGGAGGCCTGAAGGAGTAGCGGGGATGCAAGCGGTATGTGGACGATGACGACGAACTATATAAGGGATGAGCGAGAGAGGTGTTAGGGGTCTCAAAGGGTTACTCGGACGGTCACAAGGGCGACTGGCGGAACATCGAGGTCCAAGGAAAGGTGTAAAAAAAGAAGCGGCATACCGGAGGTTAGTGGAGAGTACAGACGAGGATAAGAGGAGGATGAACAGAGAAAGATATAAGAAAGCTAGGAAAGTGGTGAAGTTAGTAGTCATGGAAGCTAAGACTGCACCATTTGGTCGCCTGTACCAAAAACTGGGGGACAAAGGAGAGGACAAGAAGTTGTTCCGGTTAGCGAAGGCGAGAGAGAGGACGGCTCGTGATCTAGATCAAGTGAGGTGCAATTTTTTAATTCTTTTTTTAGCAAATATTCCACTAATATTAGTGCTTAGTGGTGTTTTTTTTATTATTAATAACAAAATCAAAATACAAATTGTATCGATGTCTAACCAAGTACAAAAGAGTACATCAATCCTATTACCATAATTGAGTAATGAACTCAATTGTGATAGTACAAAATGTGCTACTAATTGTTTCTTCGAGACCAAATCCACAGGTCCTACATAGCATGGTACTACAGGTTCGAGGTCCTGCACTAGTTGATGTGAAAAAAAGGCCTTGAGTTTGTGATTTCGCTTGCAAAAACATACACGTGGACAGTCCAGTCGGTTATAGATTCTTGATCCCTCATATAATCAGTATGTGATTGACATTTCTTTCGCTTTTCCATCCCATAGCCCGTAATTTCGCACCAAGACCACATTTCTTCCGAGGTGCAATTGTGTTGCCGTGTTGTCATTTATTTCTTTATTTTTCGTTATTATGTTATATTCTGTTCAGGTTTTTGTCTAGTAGGTGCTTGACTTGGTTTCGTCACTACTCTACCGAGGTTAGGTTTGATATTTACTGGGTACCAGTGTGGTGTACTCATGCTACGCTTTTACATATTTTTTGTGCAGATTCATGTACTTCAGCTCGTGTCGGACGCCAGTGATTAGACTAGATATTCCAGAGACTTCAAGGTATATTTGTTTGACGTCCGCAGTCCTCTGAGTCGCTTTTTATTA